TGCCCGGTCTCACTCGCACTGCATTGCGCGTGGAAATTTCCACGGGAACCTTCTAGAACGGGCGTAAACGGGAGATGCGCAAAAGGGCACGCGAGAGGGTAGTGAAAATCATCGTGTTTTCGCATGATTGCGCCAGATGTGCCGGCCGCGAACAATGGACAATCGAGAAAGTTCCGAGGAGTGGAAGCGATCCGGCATAAGTGGGGAGCCCAAGCGAGAGCGACCGCTCGAGGCAGTCTCTCGGGTATAGCCGTGGCGAACACACGTATCACACTCTGTACGATCAGCATACGCGTTATACTTTACAACCGAGAACTCCCGCGTAGTATCGCGTAAAATTACTCGTCTTAACTAACAGCGAGGGGCAATTAATTGCCAAATACAATCGAGTGTTAGCAACAATACGCGAGTTGAAATTCGGATACATTGTTAATTAGCGAAAGTGCAATTATCGAGTATATAACAACCACGGGCATTGGGTCACGCGGATACGGAATATTGTGCGGACATTATTAATCATTGTATGTAACCACCGAATACTCGTTCGTTACATCTGCGCACGAACATTGTATGATAAAGTGATGATCACGGCCGAGTGCGTGATCATAGTTTAACAATCACGGGGCACAAAGTCCTCCGATCGGAATAATTATCTGGAATAAAAGCATTGTCTCGACTAAACGAATAAGCCGAGATACGCAATTTGAATAATTGTGCAATTTTATTAAAATAAAGCGACATTCACACCGAGGCGAGTAACTCGCGTTGTGAGACACCTTTATGATATTGTAAAACCTGTAATGTTAAAATGATGATCTGAAATTAAAGATTAATTAATTCTGAAACAAATTTTCCTGATTAATTATAAAAAAATTATCGATACTTACCTTCTACTTATCTTGTCCTTCGGCGATGATCCAACGTTGGCCAGCGGCAATCCGGTATGCGATGTAAAGCGAGGATCCGGAGAAGCAGAGCAGCAACAGAGCAGCGATCACACCGAGGCGAGAACCTGAAAGAAAAGAAGCGAATTAGTACGTAATTAAAACATAATTATCGGGACTTATCTTTTCTCTGGTATGCGAGGTAAAGCGAGGATCCAGAGACGGGTAACGGCAACGGCGATCCATTCCGGGCGTCAATCTGCAACAAAACATAAAATAATTATCACATAATTATTTTATAATTACTTACCTCTATCTGGTATGCGATGTAAAGCGAGGATCCAGGGATGAGAAGCAGCAACGGTGATCCAACAGGGACATTAGTCTGAAATAAAATTCAAATAATTAGGATATAATTAATTTATCCTTACTTACCTCTATCTAGTATGCGATGTAAAGCGAGGATCCAGGGACGAGAAGCAGCAACGGTGATCCATTAGAGACATCCTTCTGAAACAAATAAATCCTATTAGCGTCTTGCGAATAATCGGGGCGTTGATGCGAACACTTACCTTCTCGGTAGTCTAAGGTAAAACCGAGTGGCGACCGTTCGATAGGAATATTATTCGCCGGAATCGGGCTCAACACGTGCCGTCCGGTCACAACCTAACCATCCTAACACGCATAATATTCTAAGGCAATTAGCCCACATAAGCGGCATGTTAACGCGATTGATGTGCCGACGCGGACGACATTTCGACCTACGCAATATTTGGCAATTCGATACGCCGTGAACACCGTGTGCGCGAGACGCAACCGCGAGCGCGGACGTTACACGAAGACGGACTCGCATCACCAGATTTCGCCAACGAATCTATCGCGATCTCCAGAGGCTTGTTATCCCGTCGTTATCGCGATTCCGCGGCCACGATATCATCCCGAGGCCCTTCGCTTTTGCTGTCGATCGCCATTTGATACTCGGTCTTAAGGAACCGTACGTATCACGATATAACAAACGTTCTCCCGATCTCGCGCACACGGTGTTCGCGCGTTCTCGTGCACCGGAGGGCGGCGTCATGGTTTTACATGTCGGTATCAAGTACTTGCGGGCAACCTCACCGATGCGATGCCTCCTCGTAGGGCTCCTCGCCGTCACTCGTACCAAGTCGTCGCAGGACGAAACGAGTACCCGACTCAAGGCGGCTATCGCGAATCTTAAGAAAACTTTTCGTGTTCGGCCTCGCCGACGGACGACCAGAGAATGTCTCCCTAAATCCGCTCGATTGCGGAATCGATGTGGCACCCCCTTCCGCAGGGGCGCGCCGACCAATCGGGAGCGAGCTTGCCAGCTCGCGCGAGATTTTAACGCAGGATCGTCGTAATGTGGGTTCTTCAGGGGCGCGCAACGGTCCCTCG